AGAGCATGTGTTCATTTTTTTTTTTAATGCTGGTTCTGGCCTGAGCACTGTTCCTTAGGTTGTTGTTTTTTTCTTTCTTTCCTTCTTCTCAAGGCTAGTTAGTGCTCTATCACTTGACACACACCTCTATTTCCAGCTTTTTGGTGATTAATTGGAGATAAGAATCTCATTGACTTTCTTCCCTAGGCTGGCTTTGAACTGAGATCCTCAAATTTCAGCCCCCTCAGTAGCTAGGTGTGAGCTACCAGTAGCCAGCTAGATTGTATTCTTCCTAGTACAGCTGGGAAGACCTCCAGGACAATAACTTGGAGTAATTCTACTCTCAAAGTTGGGTGGTTGGTAGAATTTCCTCTCCCCTGGCTTATGTCAACTGAGAAGAATTTAAACTGAGGAGGCATTTGAACTTGGGTTTAAGGGGATCAAAGCAGAAATACTGACATGCTCCTTCTCTCTGTCTGTCTGTCTCTGTTTCTGTCTCATTGACTCTTAGATTTGAAGTCAGGGTCCTTCATTTGCTAGGTAGATTGTATCATTTGATTTAGATCCCATCCAGCCCTTTTTACCTTGGTTATTTTCAGGTAAAGGTCCTGTGCTTTTGCTTGGGGCTAACCTCAGACTTTGATTCCTGTACCTCCATCTCCTGAGTAGCTAAGATAATAGGTACAAGTCACTACCCATCTTCTCACTGCACACATGACTTTCTGCATACCTTTTCCCTCTCTGTGACTGAGTTGCCATCTTTGCTCCTGGGTGGCCTTTGTGCCAGGCAGCCCTGTTCAGGTTCCATCCACTCTTGGGTGGAGGGCTTGGAACAGACACCACCCTGCTCTCCTGCAGATCCGGAGCAAGGGAACTACTGCTCAACAGAGTTTCGACGTATGATGCACTTATACATCCTTTAATTCAGAACACACTGGCAAGAAAGGGGAAACTGAGTCAGTGGACAGCTGAGGCCAATTGTCTGCCATTCCTACCATGTAGGATACTACTGTGGGCTCAGAATGACTCCTGGTAGGTAGCATTGTAGATAGATGCTACTGTCTACAATGGCCTGCACTTTTTTGTTTTTGTGCTGGCACTAGAGCATGAACTCAGGACCTTCCACTCTCATTTGGCTGTTTTGCTCAAGACTGATGCTCTAGTACTTGAACCACAACTCCACTTCCTCACCTTCCTCTTTTCTTGCACTTCCTTCCCCATTCACCTATCTTTTTTTCTGCTGTATTACTCTCTATCCCCTCTTCTTTTTCCTCTCATCAGCCACATCCCTCACAGATACTGTCAGTTCTTAGGAAGTCTCCAGAAGTCTTGAAGGACTAAAGGTCCCAGGTGAGGACATCTATGATGACGACCAAGAGTGTCCTCTGGCATTTACATCTCCAGGGTCAGCAGATCCTGTCTGAGCAGCTGTCCCTGTTAATAACCAGAAGAAGCTGGAGTGGGTTTTTTAGAATAGCTGTGGAATCTGAGAGACTGGAACTCATGACAGTTCTGCCAGTTGTAACCTTAGGAACTTAACTCCTCACTCTGAGCCTTTTTTTCCTCATCTGTAAAGATGAGAACACCTACTCCCAAGTAGTTGTAAGGTGAAACTTAACCTCATGGTTCCAAGCACATATTACCTGTTCAATAAAGTTCATTGAATGTGGCAGCACCTGAAACACAGAACCCTCCCAAGGGTTGAAGTTGGAAATATCAGTGTCTAATATTGCTGGGGTAATAAAAAAAACAAAACAGGAAGCACCTAGAAGAAGCATTCCAGAGGTGGAAGGGGTGGAAGGGAGTTGCCGGGCAGAGGCTGCTCATTGTTTTCTCCCTGTAGGCATCAGCCTCCATACACTGGACCCAGACACTGGACTCAATTAATGTTTTGTCTCTTTATGAGGTTGATGGGATCATCCTGTAACATTCCAGTGCCTAATGAGGGGGTGTGCAGCTTCTGGGAGTCCTGGAATCTCCCTGCCTTTGGCACACCCTGGGAGTAATGGTGATTTTTAAAAGCTGGGAAGCCCAAAGTGACTTCTCCCAAAACAGACTGGGTCAGTTCCAATATTAGCAGAGGTCTGGAGTCCAACCTGGATAGTTTCTTAGAAAATAAATATAAGACAAACTAGGAGGTTGGGGGGTGTGGGTATTTGTTGGGTATGCAAAATCCAAGAGGACTTCAGAGCAAGGAAGACCCAATTCTTTCCACGAGAAGTCAAAGAAACTTCCAGAGGTGAAAACTTGAAGAGAAATTGATAGGCTTCCAAATACCAATCTATTGCCTCTCCCTTCAAAGTCTCCACTTAGATGATAGTTAAGGAAATTGGAATGTTATAAAGCATAATGTTACAGTCAATGGGAAAGGATCATCAATGGACTTGAGATTTCAGCAGGTTTATGGAAGAGAATAAGGGAAGTGGCAGATGAGGAGGAGGAAGCTACAGCCAGTGTGGGCAGAGAGATGCTGTCTTCTTGACATAGCTAGGGAGAGGCCTGAATGGTGGTTAGACTAGGTAGGATGCAGAACAGGTCTAAGACATGAGAATGACAGGCAGGGAATTATTTGAAATCCACTGTGTACCAGTTGCCTCTTCTTCATCCCAAGGAAAATACACAACAGAATTATTTAGAGAGCTTAAAAAGTCCTGGAGAAGCAAAACTTCCATGAACATTTTGGCTTGTGGAGCTTCACAGCTTCTCAGCCTGCTATCCCCAAATCTGAAGGCAAAGTCAGTACACCCCTATCTATATTCACAGAGCTCTAGAAGGCAGTTATTTTTGTTGCATCACTTTTGATCTCAGAAATTAAAAACATAATTATAGAAATTAAATTTGACTCATTGGAAGATAGTGTTAATAAGTTTCCCAGGTGATACAGAGAGATTTTTAAAAGATGAGAGAAAAGAGAAGATTAAAAGAGAAAACAAATAATCATGGAAGTGGAGCTGTGGCTCAAGTGGCAGAGCACTAGCCTTGAGAGAAAGGAGCCTAGCAAGAGCGTGTGACCCTGAGTTTAAGCCCCAGTCCCTGTATTAAAAAAAAGAAAAAGAAAAAGAAAAAAAGTGAATGGAGTGCTAGTGGCTCATGCCTATAATCCTGGCTAGTTAGGAGGCTGAGATCTGAGGACTGTGATTCCAAGTCAGCTCAAAGTAGAAAAGTCTATGAGTCTCTTATCTCCAATTAATCACCAAAAAGCTAGAAGTGGAGCTATAACTCAAGCGGTAGAGCACTAGCCTTGAGTACAAAAAGCTCAAGGACAATACCCAAACCCTGAGTTCAAAAAATCTCAGAAGCAAATATAGGAAAGTATAGAGATTTGGGGGAGGGGGGTCGGTACCTGTACCTGGACTAGAATTCAGTCCTTTAGCATTTTTTGCTCAAAGCTGGTGCTCTACCACTTGGGCCACATCTACACTTCTGGCTTTTTGGTGGTTAATTAGAAATAAGAATTTCTTGAATTTCCTGTCCAAGCTGACTTTGGACTGTGATCTTCACATCTCAATCTCCTGGAGTAGCTAAGATTACAAGGCACATGGCTGCTCTTACTTTTAGAAATCATTATGCCAGTAAATAATTGCTCTTCCTTTATTTACAATAACTATCATTTATTGAGTGTTTACTGTACACAGAGCACGGGGTTAAGTCTTTATATGTTTTATGGCCTTTAATTCTCACAATAGGTCTCTGAGGCAGGTGCGCTGCTCTCTCCCTCTTCAGGGATGAGGGAATCAAGACTCATGGATGTATGTTGGTGACCTGCCCAAAGTCCTGGGCACTTAGTAAGTGTGGCTCTGGGAATGAAGCCACAGTTGTCAGCTCCCCAGCCTATGTTTTAACCACTGCCTCTCACCAGCCCAGACAGCTAATTAAAGCAATGAGGGTTTAACTGCTTTCAATTGGTAGAATAAATAAGAACGTGATACAAACTCAATAAACTGGAAACCAAGCTTATCATTACATTCATGAATACCCATCACATGTTTGCTGCTCCATAAATGCTCATGAAATGAGGTGGCGTTTGGTTCTAGGAAATGAAAACCAAATGACACATTTCACTGAGGTAAATAAAGCAAGTGGAAAGTCACAGTAGGCAATTGGGGCATGCTGAGCAGTTTCCCAAACATTTGTGGACACACCCTAACTCTCCAAATATGTTTGGGGACCCTCCTCAACCTACTCCTGGGCCCCCTGGGAGCGCCTATTTCTTCCTCAAATCTCTTTCACCTTCCCCTCTCCCCAGCTGTCACAGGCACAGAGCTCCAGGGGGAGGCTCTATGCTCCCCCTCCTCCCATCCCATCAAGGAAGAGGCTTCTCTTGAAACTGCCGAATGACTGACTGCAGCCCAACCCTCTCCTAAATATCCCATACATCAGATAGACAAAGTAGCTGCACAGCAAAGGGGAAAATTCCAAGAGTTCTACTTTGCAAGTAAGAGAAGCTAAGCACAACCCATTCTTCCTCAAGGAAAGAATCATCATAGAGATGGAAGGGACATTGCTTTATGCAGGAGAGGGCCCTTACTAGGAGGCTGTCTTTACTCTCTCTACCAGACACCAAGCAGGGCACAGTGGGACAGGATGGGCCCCAACGAATCATGAGGGCAAAAGAGAGGCAGGCTAGCTGTCCTAATTTACAAATGGAAGACTTCAGGAAAGGGGAGGGGAGGGAAGAAGAGGGAAGACTGGAGGGACTGGAAGAAGAAGCTGAAGGGAGAGGAAGAGCTGGAAGTAGAAAAGAGGAGGAAGGACTGGAGGGGCAGGGAGAGGAGAGAGGGGAGAAGGAAGTGGAAGAGAAGGAAAAGAGAAGGAAAAAGGAGGAAGATGGGGAGAAGAGGAGGGGAGAAAGAAGTGGAAGAGGGGGGGAAGGGCAGGAGGGAAGGAAGGAGGGGAGAGAGACAGAGAGGGGGGTGGGGGAGGGAGGGAAGGTAGCAACAGCTGGTCTGGATTCTCCCTGGAGCCACTTTCTGAACATACTCTGGTCACGTTTTAACTAATGGCAAGGTTTTCCCGTTGACTCAAACAAGGGCCCTCTCTTTAATTAATTTTCTAAAGAGCTGGCCAATTTTAATCATAGCAAACACAATGACCCCGGTTACGACGGCCTGAGCTACTAAAACCAGAACATAAAGCCACCAGAAGAGACTATGAGGATCTTGACGCTCGCCGGTGGCCACTAGCTGGGTCCGCAACCAAGCTTCCGAGCTATTAGGCAGCCAGGAAGCTAGAGTGGTTTCCAGGAGGAGGTTCTGGGCGGGAGGTCTTGGCGGCCGCCCGCGAGGGCTGGGGCACCACGGGTCACCCTCCAGCAGATCCCACAGCGACAGGCCGGCGCGCAGCCTCGGGCCGCGGCACTGCGGGGGCTCGTCTCGGCCCACGAGGTCCGGGTGGTGCCGCAGCCACTCCAGGAACGGCCACAAGCCACAGTCACAGAGCCAGGGATTGTGCCCCAGCCGGACCTCCGTCAGCTGGGGCAGCTCCCCAAACACGTCACCAGGAAGGACCTCCAGCTGGTTGTGGTCCAGCTGGACCCTCTCCAGGTTGCTGAGGTTGCGGAAGAGCGTGCGGGGCAGGGCCCGCAGCCTGTTGTGGTGCAGGGATACCTGGCGCAGGTGCCCGAGGCCGCGCAGCAAGGCCTCGGGGAGGGAGGCCAGGCCGTTGGCGTGCAGGGCGAGCACGCGGAGCTCGGCCAGGCCCCCAAGGGCGCCCGGAGGGAGCGCGCTCAGGTGCGGGCTCAGCGTCACCCCCAGCGTTTGCAGGTTGCTCAGGTTGCGGAAGGCGGCCGCGGCGGGCAGCGTGCGCAGGAGGGTGCGGTTGAGCCACAGCTCCCGCAGGCCCGCCATCTCTCCGAAGAGCACCTCGGGGAGCTCTTCTAGGGGGTTCTCGAACAGGGTGAGCAGAGTCAAACTGCGCGAATGGAGAAAGAGTGCGGGGGGCAGAAAGGCAAGGCGATTTCTAGAAAGGGTCAAAGAACTCAGGTTGCCCAGGTGGTCGAAGGCACCGGGCGCGATGGCACTCAGGTGGTTTCCATCCAGCCGCAGCTCCATCAGGGCGGCCAGATGGTCCAGCAGCCCCGGATCCAGAGAGACGAGCTGGTTCGTGTGGAGCAGAAGTGTCTCCAGCTTCGCCTGGGCTCCAAGCAGTCCCCTGGGCAGGTGAGTTAAGTTGTTCGCCGACAGATCCAACAACTTCAGGTTCTCCAGCTTTGCGAAGAGGTCGGGAGACAGGAACGCCAGTCGATTGTGGTTGAGGACCAGCTCCCGCAGGCTAGCCAGTTTCCGAAATAGGTGTCGGTCCATGGTTCTCAGTTCATTGTGGTCCAAGAACAACTGTTCCAGGAGCCCCAGCCTATCCAGGAGCGCACCCGGAAGATGCGTGATTCCGTTGCGCGACAACCTGAGCGTTTTTAGCTTGATCAGGTCACTGAATGCGCCGGGCTCAATGGAGGAAATGTGGCTGTCGGAGAGGATCAGGCGCTGCAGGACCGTCATGCCACTAAAGCTGTGGTTCTGCAAGGCGCCCCGGCCCATTCGGAAAAGGAGGATGTGCGTGAGGTTGGTGGGCAGACCCAGCTCGCCGATGCGCGCCACGTGGCCGCCGGAGCACTGCGCGGCGTCGCGGAAGACACACCTGCAGGCTGGGGGACAGGGGAAGGGCTGCGCGCGCAGGAGCGCCAGCACCGCGCACAGCAGGGTGCTTCTCAGCATGTCTGCAAAGGCAAGAGAGAGGCGCGGCAGGTCACCTTGCGCATGCTCACAGGCACAGTCCTGCCCCCACCCCCCCTCACTGCCTTCTGAGTACACGCGGGGCAGGTAGAATTCCTCAGCTGGGGAAACCAGGTTTGTGTCACATCAACAGCGCCTGCCCTATCTTTCGTTTTGTATTCAGTTGAAGAACTGCATTTCAAGGGTTTTCCATGCTACCTAAGAGCTGAAAAGTTCACATAGCAAGAGGACTCATTAATTCACCATTCTCACATTCTGGGTCACAGACCTTGCAGCACTACGAAAAAACCTTGGTAGTGCTCTTGACTTTGATGTACCTAGGATTGACTTTAGCAGTGAGGAAGGAGAGAGTGAAGTCTACACTCCTCCTCGCTTGATTCTTTTTTTCCCATAACCATGCCTCAAACAGCAAACACTTGACATCTGCTAAGCCTATCAGATAAATACTAGCCCGTTTCTCAACACCATGCATGTTTCTCTGCACTGTTTAAGTTAAATGTACGCATTTAGACCTTACACTAGCCAAGAGCTGGGTATAATTATCCTCATGGAGCTAAGGCAGGAGGGCCATGAGTTTGAGGGTAGCCTGGACTACATGCAAGATTGTCTAAGAAAACAAAAAAAAAAATTTTTTTTAAAGTTAAAGATCGGAAGTGGCGCTGTGGTTCAAATGGTAAGAGTGCTCGCTCACCTTGAGCTGAAAATCTCAGGAACAGTGCCCAGGCCTCGAGTTCAAGCCCCACGATCACCACCACCACCAAAAATAAATTAAGGCTGATATGCTTAGAACTGGAAAGTAGTATTTCTGATTTACTTATTCTAATAAGTATTTCTAAGATGCTTAATAAAATTTAAATACACAGGCATTAAATACCTGTGAAATTTAATACTAGTCCACCAAAACAGTATTTCCCAGGTGAAACTTTATACAAATTGTTTCTCCTACCCATTTTTCTCAAATGTACATACACCGGCTAAACCCTCTAATTACACTAATTTAGAACAAAAGTTCAGCCTTACCTGGAGTGGCTCTGTCCCCCGAGCGACTGAGAGGCTTGTAGAGGCACATGTGACTGAGCACTTTCCAAAGGAAGAAAGAGCATATCTGCATCCTGATGACAACTTGCCCAGAAGAAAGGAAAGGACTCTTATCTTACAGTGCATATTCTAGTTTTTCCTGGCAAATTTCTCCAAACTTAAGACATTGCATATAATTTGAATCCTTCTGTCAAAGAATAGTAGTAGCAGGAGGGTAAGTTTTTCCATAAATGGCACAATACAGCATCGATGCTAGAAAAATAGCAACAATTGGATCAGGGCAGCAACCACAGCCCTGAATAGAACTCTTCTTCTGCAGGCCTCCTGTCCATTCTCAACTTTTTTTTTCCTTCCCTTTTCCCCTTCTCCCCCTCTGCCAGTACTGGGGCTTTGGAAATCAGGGCCTTTCATCCTAACCTGGCTTTTTTGCTCAAGGTTGGTGCTCTACCACTTGAGCCACACATCTCTACTTCCAGTACCAGACTCTCCATTTCAAAGATTGAGGCTGAGTCTATTGTGGAACATGCTCAATACTGCCATTGCTGATGTGATGTCTTCCTCTATTCAACTGCACTAATGTCAACCTGTTCTCAAAGGGGTTGTACTGATGTCCAATGCTACCTGTTAAGTTTGAAAATCCCTGTCCATTCATCACCGTCCATATATGGTATTCTTGAAATTTTTTCAGTTGCAGTTATCCCAGCAGTTTGCTTTCCATTTCCCTGTTTGATGGCGAAACTGAGTATCTTCTCATTTAAGTCCACTTGTGCCTCATCTGAGTTTAGATCCCCTTTTGCCCACTTTTCTTATAATTATGCACAAAATGAAGTGCAAGTCAATGTTTAATTGCATAAGAGTAAACTTTCCCTCTAGAACTACAAATAGAATGGTGGGGCATAAGCATTTTCTAAGTTATTTTATATAGGATGTAGATGTTATCAAAAAAGCGTCAAAAGCTAGATGCCTGTTATCTTAGCTACTTGAGAGGTTCACATTGGAAGGATCGTGGTTCCTGGCTAGCTTGGGAAGCAAAGTTCCTAACTTTCTCAGTCAGTAATTGGGTGTTAACATTGTGCACCATTATCCTAGCTTCAAGAAGAAACATAATAGGCAGATCAGGGTTCAAAACCATTTATATGCCAGAAATGGGACTATCTCCAAAAAAGGGTTCAGGTATGGCTCAGCTGCCTTGGCAAGTGTGAGCCTCAGTTCAAACTTCAATACAAAGTAAATAAAAAATAAAAGCCCTGGAATCCCATCAGTATTTAATGTAGCCTAGGCCAGTAAGCCCAGCAAGTGTTGATCCAACGGTATTCACCTAGTCATAGTCCTAACCAGAGGGAAGAACCACTGCCTCTGCAGTTATCATGGGTCCTTTTCAGTTCTCACCATCACTACTAACAGACTGTAGTAAGTCCAACAATCTCAGCATTGCCCTCCAAGCTCCTGACACTTAGTATGTGGTTCTACTTTGCATCTGACTGAGGAGTATCCCAGGACGGTCCAAGCCTGGTGTGGAATGAGGCATGCTATCTGGACTAGCCTCAAAACTCATGTTTAAAACAAACTGTTTAACAAAGGAGAGTAATGATGGGAAATGTGAGAGGAGGAAGGGTGAGCAAAGGTAGTCATTATATTCAATGTACATCATGTACAAATAGAACTATGCAACTTGAGGGTAGAGATGGGAGGGAGGAAATGGGGGAAACAAAGGATGGGGTGACAGTGATCAAGGAGCACTGTATTCATAACCTGACTTTGTACAACTACTTAATAATGAAGTTTTAAAAAACATCTTTATTATTTTTAAGTAGTTGTACAAAGAAGTTCCCATTTACAAAACAGTATATGAATACAAGCTGTCTGACATCAATATATTAACCATATCTTTTGAAACTGTGCAATACTTTCAACATGGGAAAAGGAAATAAGAGTAAAAACTGCAACAGTTTTAAATGCCGAGTGCAATTTGGAAAGCTTTTCGAATGTAAAGATTATAAAACTATCATAAAAAGTATTTCTTTTGCTGCTGGCTTAGCCACTTTTATTCAAGCATTATTTGCAGCATTGCTTGACAGCTTGTCACTCATCACTCCTAACCCATCCCTTCTCTCACTTTTCTTTTTCGTTTTTAATTGAGATTAGGTGATTACATAAATTTCACAGTATTGTGGAATAGTAATACTTAATTAAAGTCACAAATACATTTTAACCTTCACAAGGCAAACTGTCTTTATCATGGTCCATAAAGTTTGTGAGTTTTTTGAGCTTTGACAATACAATTATTTCTTCTACATCAAGTGATGTTTACATTTCTTTCCTTTTGCTTAGTGTAAGCTGTTCCCTTTTTCCCTCTCAATAACGAAGTGTTTTTTAAAAAGAAGAAAACAAGGAAATGGGGAAGTACTAAGCAATTATTAATTAATCCAGAGAGGCACATAGTCATAACAAAAAAGCAAACAATATATCAACACAGGAAAAATAGTAGAAATACACAATTCATTTCAGTTTTTATTTTTAATAGCTTCAATCAAAAAAAGATTTAATAAGGTTATTTACAATGCTGAATGTACAATTATGAATGTATGCCTTTTTGACAATAGGGTACCATTCTTGAGCAGCAATACAATTTTAAAAATATAAAGATGCAGTATCATTTCTGATATAAAGTTACTTAAAAAAATCCAGGTTCTTAGGGAATTCACAAATCATAACAGGAAAAAACTATTTCATTAATTTCATGTGCACATAATTACCAAATTTTAATACATTAAAAATATGTGTAAATGCCCAGACTGTACAAACATTGACATCCTATCTTATTAAAAGCTCCCCACCACCTCCCACCATAAATATACAAAAGCCTATTTCCAGATATGTCAAAATTGCATGCATGAAATATTCAGTGTTTTTTCTAAAGCTTGAATTCTGTTCTTTGTTGGATAGTTGTCAATAGCTGGTTTGAAACAGACTACATAAACATCGATATATTAATCATGCCTTTTGAAACTGTGCAATACTTTCAACAATATGGGAAAAGGAAATAAATAGAGTAAAAACTGCAACAGTTTTGTTTAAATGCAAGTGCAATTTGGAAAGCTTTTCGAATTTAAGGATTATAAAACTACTATAAAAAGTATTTCTTTTGCTGTTGGCTTAGCCACTCTTATTCAAAGCATTATTTGCAGCATCGCTTGACAGCAGTTGGTGCTAAAAGATAGAAAACATATGTATATTTGAGGGGGAAAAAAAAACTTTAAACAACCCTGAGGGACACACACATTAAAAATCTTGTTATTTATTTAAAAAGTTAAAAAGTTACATATCATTATTTAACAATTACTTTCCCGGACATTTCTGTCCTTTAAGTATGTGCATAAATAAAATTTAAATCAGCAATATTTATCAATCTTAATACATCAAAATAATATATGTACAGATTTTAAAAATTAGGTCTGTATACACTCAAATAATTTAATGTAAAACTCAGAACCAAAACTACTACGTAATGGTGACCTACAGAGAGGACTGTCTATGGCACTGAGCAGGAGCCACACCTGGATTCACAGATATTCCTCAAATAATATTCTCACCTTGAAAACCTATCCTGTCTTTTTAAGTCTAACTGCCTACCGATGCTCTCCCATCTACCCCAAACCTTATTCCTTTGATGAAAATTATTATATGGGGAGATGAGCTAGAAACCCTTAACTCTAAACATTAAAAGATATGTATGTCAAAAATAGGTTTTTATGATCATGCTCTTAAAGATGTTAAATACAATCAATAACTGGATTTTTAAATTGTACTTGGCAATTACTGGAATGATATGCTTCAGTATTTAACCAAAAGAATAAAATTTGCAATTGTGGAAATCACTAAAGAGTAATACTTGAGCATATTTTAAGTGGATATGAGCATTATAAAACAATCAAGAGATCATGAAATTATAGAAAATAGTGCTAATTCACAGCTCAAGAGGTCTAAGATGCATAGCTTCATAGATTCATTCATGGAATAATTGTTCTTATCTAATGTGTATTAATATCACATTATACATTTTGATGAAAATATGGATTGTATTTTTTGTAATAATCATCAGTGGCAATAGCAGTAACAGTGATCCTGAGTGTAATTTATATGTTCTACAGTTATCAAACATCATTCAGTTCTTTGCAGCATAAATAAGAAGAAACATTTGGTTCTACAATTCTGGGTAACACCTGGTAGATTGGAAACTATGTAATGATCAGCTAGGAGTGAAAAGCAAACATGTGATTGTTAAATGAGAACATAGAACAACGTCACATTGCTTTAATAATTTAGGGTTCATTTACAGCAATATCAGTCCTATGTCAATTTTAACTGTGGGTATTTAAAAAGTAGCTTTAAAATTCCTCTAGAATTTAAACATTAATTGGACAAAACAGAAAGTTGAAAAACTTTCCAATATTTCCTTCTTTTGGCTCACTGAATGTCTTCAATTCTTTAACTTTGTTACCTGGATTTTTTTATCTCCCAGAAATTGCCACACCAAAAATGTTAACAAACAAAAGTATGCTGGCGCCATCTAGTGGCTTTGTAACAAACGTTCACCAATTTCACACTGCTTTGAAAAATCAGTAGTTATTCAAATCCAATACCAATTTTTAAAAGCCTCATTATTGACAGGAAACCTTGAAAAAAAAAACTTTCAAGGTAAAATATTAACTAACAAAATGCAAAAACTAAAGCTCACTATTATCCTGTCTTTAGATAATTAAAATAAAACAAATTCTGAACAAAAAGAGGTATGAAGAGCTATTAGAAAAATAAGATTTCTATCTACTGCCTTTTTCTAGTGAAAAAGATTTGCCAAGGTTCAAGTGAAGCAAAGTAGACTACTGACCCCAGACATAGCACAAGATCCACTCAACAACTTGGAGGACATCAAGAAGCAGTGAAGCACCTTACTGATTAGAAAAATAAACCCAGGCAGTTTGCACAGAAAATATAAACCATACACAGAATTACCTGAGTTGTTCTATAAGCAACACCACATAACCTCATTCCTAACTTCTAACCATCAAAGGGAACTGTTATATGTATGTTTACAGGGAATTCTTTGGAAGAAATACTGAAATGAAATCAGGCTTTCAATTTGTTTTCAATGGAGGTTATGAACAGCCATTTTATTTTTAACAATCACAAATTTAGGGCCTGTAATATATATATATATATATATCTATATATATATATATCTATAATATACATATGTGTGTGTATATATATATATATATATATACACTTATAAACATTTCCTGTCAAAAGGGGTTGTGAGAATAAATTTTAAAAAGCAAACTAGTTTCAAAAGCCAATGTTGAAAAACTTACTGAACACCAGATTTCTCTGGTACCCAATATAAATAATCACATAGGGTAACAGTCAAATTCTACAATATTTATATAATACTTAGGTTACTGAATGAAGATATACCCAGGTCTGAATTCAATGTCACTCTCTCTTTTGTATGTGTTTTAAAGCAAAGCTTTCAAATCAATTACTGTATTATCAGAAGAAGAAGCATAAATTGAAATAGTGCCCATTCTGATACACAGGATCAGGAAATCATAAAATCACTCTCTCTCCTGAACACTGCTATTAGCAAACCACTGACACCAAGTCATTGCTATGTTATGGTGATGACCTGACATGATCCATTCTCCTTTACCAAAGCTTTAGCTTCTGTTGTTGTCTGAGGTTTGGGTGGCCATTCCGGATCAATCAAGAGCTCCTGTGCCAGATACATGTACTTTGCCTTTGGCGTCTTCTTTCTACAGCCCAGTGCCCAAGACAAGCAGCATTTCCCCCACCGATCCACTGACTCCTAGGACAAAAAAACACTCTAGCTGATTATAAGGGATATTGTTTTTAACAGGAGAAGAAGCATTATCACAAAAACAATAAAAATCGACTTCTGAATACAACAAACAAATGAACACAACCCATGTAAAAAAGTCAGCTGTCAATTATTTAGGAACAGATTGTTTTTAAAGAGTTTTTTTTATTATTATGGTAACTTCAGTTTCTTCAATTTTATGTATAGTACCTATGTGTTGTGTACTGATGTATTTTTAAATAACTTGCAGATCTAGATTCGATAACATAAAACATTTAATATATTCAGAGTAACTAGAAAGAATATATTTTCTTTCTCTCTTTTCTTTCGTGTATGCCAGTAATGGAGCTTAAATTCCAGACCTGGACACTGTCCCTAGCTCTTTTGCTCAAGGCTGGCACTCTACCAATTGAGCCACACTTCTACTTCCAGCTTTTGTGGTTAATTGAAGAGTCACAGATTTTTTTCCTTCCCAGGCTGGCTTTGACCAGGGGTCCTCAGATCTCGGCCTCGAGTGACTATGATTTTAGAGGCATGAGCCACTGGTGTCCAGAGAAAGAGAATTTTTTAATATTGATTTGAAAATCATGATAATCTATCCCAACCTATCTTTAACCATGAAACATGAAATAAATACTGTTGGGTCATAATCTGCCTATCCTTTTATCAGTAGAGCATGGACATGCCTAGAATCCTAGAGCTAGGGAGGATGAGGCAGAAGGACTGAAATTCAAGACAAACCTAGGATACATAGACCCTGTATCAAAATAAAAGACTAAATAAAACCACAGCTTCACTAAAACAAACAAAAAACAACTTTTGGAGGGCAGGGGTCATACTGAGGTTTAACTCAGGGCCTGATGCTTGCTACACACAGGTGTTTTGCCACTTGAACTACTTTAGCCTCTTTTGGCTATCGTTATTTTCAGTAAGGTCTTCCATTTTTGCCCAGAGTTATAGTCCAACCTATGTCCCCCAACCATAGAGAAATAATATGTGCCAGCATGCCTGGATTGCTGGATTAGATGTTGCCAATTCCCCTGCCTCTTCCACAGCCTGGCTTTAAAGTAAAATCCTCCCAAGTCTCTACACCTCCGAAGTAGCTGGGATTACTGACATGAACCACTATGCCCAATGAAGACATTATTTTATTGGTTCCCCTTATTGCTCTACAACTGGAGAGAGACACATAAGACATACAAGCAAAGACTATCTCTTAGGATTTATTATAAAAAGCCCAACAAACTTTGAGATCCTTGTGAACAATCTTGGTGTTATTAATGATTGTGAGCTTAGATAAATAATTGCAGGAAAATCAGAAAGCAGAGTTCCCAGTTAATGTATAAAAACATAAAGTCAATAAAGGAATAAAAGGTATCTTTATAGTTATAACTTGAAATAAAAACTAAATGACTGGGACCTGTAGTAGTTGTATCTCTCAGTAAAAGTGAAATCCCAGGTAGTTTTTTGCCAATCAAAATAGGACATGGCCTACACTAAGTTCTAATCACAACTGAAGTAATCCTACAAAATGGAATCACAATCTGAAGATACCTATTTGAATGTGAACAAGAAGTCATGTCTTGAAAGTAGCCAATGGAAGATAGTGAAATGCTTTAAAAAGAAAACTTTTTCACATACTTGAGGTCTTTCTCATCTTACTGAGATATCAGGACAACTTATTCTTCCTCTTCCCTATGATAACACTGAGTGTAATGAATAATTTTGCACCACTATTATATTACCACCCCTTAAAAGAAATATATAAGAACTTAAGCTAAACATTAGAGTATAGAAGTAACTAGCCACAGACCATAGACATAACTACGTATAGGATTCTTTAGTAGGTCAATAACAGATGGCAACTCCTTTCCAGTACATCACATATACAACACTTCGTATTTAAACTGAGACAATGATTCACTACTTGAATTTACTCTTTTCCCAGTTTTTAAAATACTTCAGTCCAGTTGTGGAAAAATCAACTGCTTCTAAATCAATATGAAAACCATAACTTATTTAATGGGAAGCAGTATTGTTAAAGGAACACAAAGGCCAATGTTGACTGCTTGCTTCAAAAAACAAAAAGGTAGGAATAAATCTGTCTGTCCAGACAAGTCTGAAGGAAAATGCACACAAGGCTAAGAAAGCAAAAGCTATGTGTAATTAAAATTAAGACCTACATACAGATACATAAATATACATATATACATGTATCTAAATTTACTGTTCCCTACTTATGGAGTAAGACAAGCAAAAAAATTGAAATAAATTGAAAACAATCACAACCGGATAGTTTTTACATTAAACATTTTTGTTTAAAACAATAAACATGTTATATTAAAAAAAATCACAAGAAACAGGAATTCCCCAACTCTACCACAATTACAAACATGTTGTTCCTATGCATTTATTTCCTCTAAAATACTGTACACAAAAATATACTATCTATGCAAACATAGGTTTATGAGTTTAAAAATATGAATAGAGCACACACATGCACAAACACAATATAACTCACTGAGGAGGAAATAAAAGGGGCTACAGGTGTGCTACAATGAGAAGTAGGGGCAGGGAGGGTGATGGCAAGGGGAGAAAGGCAAGCAGTGCAGAACATGAACAGGATGAGTCGTCACAGGGGCCCGAGAATGAACACTTTATCTCTATAAAAAACATTCAGGGCCCAAGTCCCTGAAGCTGGAGGACATAGCAGGTCTAGCAGTCAGAGATCTGGGTTTACTTCTGGAAGGAATCATTAACTGGCCCTGCCAGTTTCAGAGAAATCATGAAGGAATTCACAAAGATCTGTAGGTACAATTCTCCTGTTTCTTAGTATTCCAAGTTGTTCATTCTGAGACTAAACTATTGGCTCTTAGCAGTCTTTTAGGAAATGTTTTCCTGGGTAGTACATAAGCATAAAGACATGTTTGAAGGAAAAAGGTATAATAAGTGTTATAGTTCAGTTTACATAGAAGTCTTCCATACTAATCCTCAACATAAAATAATGCAAATTAGCATCCTATTTAAATAAGCTCAAATAATATTCTAAATGGCATGATAACTACAATTAACTTTGATTTTTCACTAAGAATGTTGAGTAAGTAAGAATAAAATGGCCTCAGAAGATCTAATTACAGGATAGTATAATACTAGTTCTTTAATATTAAGTGGCACAGTGGCTACAAATTCTATAAAGAGAATAGCACAGATCTCAAGGGTAGAGTTTTATAGAAAACCAGAGATAAGAGATCTCCATTGAAGTCTTATTCAAACTGTCAAGGATGGACCAAGGTGTTTCTGGCTAATTTTTTTTTTTGAGAAAACAATAGGGCTGCTAAAGGACATGATAGGAAAATTATCTATCAATACAACAGTTACATCCTCAATTATTTGTAGACTGTTTCTTTAATTTGCTTTTTTTTCCTCCCACATATACAATTTCTTCCTATTTATCTTATAGGAAAATGACATAGGTAAAAATAACAAAGATGAGAGAATGAGTAGCTGGTTAGCAGAGTGAGTTTCTGGGGTTACAACTGAGGGGTGAGCTATCCAGAACCTCTTTTTAATTTGCTTTTGATTTGATTCAACAAATTTTTACCGAATCCACTGAGCCTCAGAAAGAATACAGTTACAGTCAGTGCAAAATGGGACTGAGGTGGGAAGGGTCACATACAATATTAAAGAAACCCTACAATTAAAGCTACTCTTATCTTGACTTTCCTTTTCACCTTACAGCAAGGTTTTAAACTTCAGCAAAACTGTTATCCTAGGCTAGGCAATACTTTACTGGGAAAGGTTGCTCCATTACCATAAAACAATTGTTTAGCAGCATCCCTGGCCTCTACCAGCTACCACAATAATAATCTCTGTCCCTCAACATGTAATAACCAAAAATATTTCTGACATCTGACATTGCCAAATGTTTACAGAGGGTAGATAGGAGGAGAGGGGGAGGAGAGGATGTGGCAAGCAATTATCAATGAATAAAAACATAGCCTAATAGGAGTAGCTAACAAAGGATCACAAATGTAAACAGTGAAAACTTATGTAACATCCAGTAGTGTCAGAAGATGGAAGTACACTATTCTGTGCTAAAATGTTACAAGAACTCTCGGTCATAAGGTAATTCAATGAGAGCAGTCTAAATAGTAAATCTAATTTAAATTTCCTATCATATTTTCTATCAATTTAATAATACTTCATGACCATAGAACTGGAAGGCTAAAACTCTCCTCTGTTCAATGATTTTCAGAAATCAGTCAGAACATGGGACATGCTGGATGGGGGGGTCTCCTGGTTCTGAAAGCCCCTCTGCTTTCATTCTCTCCCTTAAAACATTTTAGTGGTCAAATTTCATGAGATGCAAACTCTTAGAAATAAGGGCAAATGCCTAACAGTAGAGTGCCTATATAGCAAGCTCAGGGTCCTGAGTTCAAACCTCAGTATCTCCAAAGAAAGTGAAGGGAGATATATTCATTAATAAATTTTTAAAAAATACCAAGTAAATTATGTGAAAAAAATCTTATTTTGGTTGAAAAACAGGGAAGGGGGGGTTCCTCTCATATGTTATGGGGTTCTTAAAATATTGCTTACTAGTTTTAACTCCTCTTCAGAACATGTATTTCCTATTTAGATCTAGAGTCAGAGGTTTCTTTGGAGAACCTGGAAACTCAAATTTAACTCTTTCCCCAGGCCTGTGCCTGTTCAATACAAACATACATAAGGACCAGTGATCTGAACCAAAGTTCACCCTCTGTAAAGATGAGGTCACTTGCCAAAAGGAAAAAGCACAGGCACAGCGAAAATTTAGCTACTTACTTCAGCCACAGTTCTGTCATACCCACTACTGGGCACAAATAGCCAACAAAGCACACACTACTTTGAGAAAAAGAAATTAAAGCCATTTTCAGACTAATCCTATCATTTCAGAACCACCATTATTCACTACACAACATTAGAAAATTAAAACAGCAGTCTACAGGACCTCTTATAGAGCAATCTTGTGTCACTAGGATATTACTCCTGCTAAATTACCAAACTAAAATTCAGTATTGCCATTTAGGTAAAAGTAAATAAAAATGAGTTAAGTAGTTCAACTCAGAAATGACAGGCAGTCCTTTTGAACTCTGTAAGCTTCTCCATAGCACAAAGATGAGTGAAAGACATAGAACAGCATATCGCCCACCTAAAAGCATAAAGTTCTAAATGGGTGAGATTTTATGCAGTCAAGTTCTCATGGCTGCCCACTAAGGTTTAATTCAATGATAGCAGTCTAAACAGTAAATCTAATTTAAATTTCCTAACGTATTTTCTACCAAGAGATACAGTTTTTTGGGGAAAAGATGGAAGGGACAATGTTGATCAAGATACATTGTACTCTAACTGACATGCTGTTGAATTGAAAACCCTTTGTACAACTCCTTAAAGATAAAAAAATAAAATCCTCCTGACACGTCATCCTTTTGAGTATAAAATATTATTATTGTTGTTGTTGTTATTAATTTTTTTCCAGTCCTGGGGCTTCAATTCAGGGCCTGGGAACACTGTCCCTGAGAGCTGCTTTTGCTCAAGGCTAGCACTCTATCACTTGAGTCACAGCGCCACTTCCAGCTTTTTCTGGTACTGAGGAATCAAACAACCCAGGGCTTCATGCATGCTAGGCAAGCACTCTACCACTAAGCCACATTCCCAGCCCAATAATGCTATTTTACTGCCTCCAAAAGTTGTATTTGGCTTGCAAATAAAATTATATTGGAAAAAGCCAGACAAAGTTTAAAGCACAGTCACTGACAACAAATCAGAAATAATTTCTTGAAAATTTCTTCGTTGTGTTGATGAAAATGAACTAAGCAACTCAAGGGCAGCAATGGGCGGGAGGGAATGAGAGGTACAGGGAACAGCTTACAGTAAGCAAAAGGAAAGAAATGTACATTTTACCTGATATGGAAGAAATAGTTGTATTTTCAAAGCTCATAGAATTCACAAACTTTATAGACCATAATGACTATTTGCCTTGTGAAGGTTAAAATGTGTTTGTGACTTTAACTTAAAAGTATCACTATCCCACCATACTGTGATATTTGTGAAATTTATGTAATTGCTTAATATCAATAAAAAATTATTAAAAAAGAAAAGAAACTATACAACTCCTAGATGGAGATGAGAAGGAAAACTTGAGAGAGAGGAAGGGATGACATTGTTCAAAAAGAAATTACTTTTTAATCTGACTTATGTAACTGTAACTCCTCTGTATATCACCTCTACAATAACAATAAATTTAAAAAATTTGTTCTGCTGGGCGATGGTGGCTCATGCCTGTAATCCTAGCTACTCAGGAGGCTGAGATCTGAGGATCACGGTTCAAAGCCAGTCCGGGCAGGAGAGACCGTGAGACTCCTATCTCTAATAAACCACCAGAAAACCGTAAGTGGCGCTGTAGCTCAAGTGGTAGAGCGCTCGCCTTGAGCTGAAGAGCTGAGGGACAGTGCCCAGGCCCAGAGTTCAAGCCCCACGACCGACAAAAAA